CCCCCTGGAGACTTCTCATAGGCCCCGATAATGCTTATACTTTTATTTTTTGATTTATCAATAATATATTTCATATAAAGTTACAAAGGTATTTACTAAAGTAAATAATAATACTATTACTTAAAACCAGAGTAGCCCTTATCTGTGCCAAGCACTGTTCTAAATACTTCGCTTCCATGAACTCATTTCACCCTTTTAACACCTGATGATACCCTCGTTTTACAAAGGAGCAAACTGAGATGCAGGGAGATTAACTAGCTCCTCGCAGGAGTCACAGCTAGCAGGAGGCAGGTGGCCTGTGCTCTCAGCTGTCACGTCCTGCGCTGATACAGCTTTAAAGGGAGGAGAGAGGTTAGAGGGAGCAAAACTTCGGCTGGTATGGCAGGAAGTCCAAAGATAATCGCCCGAATTGGCTAATCAGCTGCTTCTGCCGATGAGGCAGCTATGCTCAGACAGATCAAGAGATTCCTTGAAGTTGCCCAGTAAGTTAAGGGCAGAACTGGGACGAAAAACAGGGTGTTTCTTTTTCCCGGGTCTTCCCTCTCAACATAGGATGGCGTCTCATTATTGCGCAGAAAGCACGTAGAGACAGCTCCTCGGGCAAATCGTAAGAGCGGAACAAGAGGCCTGAGGACAGATTGCGGTGGTTCACGTTTTTCCAGGTTCTTCCGTATCAGATCTGAAAAAGGAAACACGAATGAAGCTCAGCATAGGGAGAGTTTTAGGTTGGAGCAAAGGAGAGGCCTAACTTGGGTATGTGTTGATTTTAGAGACCTTTTTTTTTTTTTTTTAAATATCTTTTTTGATTTCAGAGAGAGGAAAGGAGAGGGAGAGAGAGATAGAAACATCAATGATGAGAGAGTCACCGATCGAGCCCGAAACCCGGGCATGTACCCTGACCAGGAATCGAACCCCGATCGCCTGGATCCCAGGTGGATGCTCAACCGCTGAGCCACGCCGGGCTGGGCTAGAGACCATTTTTAACTCTTTAAAAAAAAAAAAAATCTCCCTTTTGTAGTGGGTGTTTTTTTGTTTTGTTTTTTGGTTTTTTTGAGCTTCAACAATATCGCATCCCATTCTGTTGCCTGTCTCCCTCACTTTTACAGACTCCAAGCTCATCAGGAGGCACCTTGGGGTTGGAACCCCTTTGCTGTCCCGTCCTCGGCCTCCCATTTGGTAAAGCCGAGCTCCTTCCTCTGCGAGCTGCCCTGCAGCCCCCTCCCCCCTGATAGGTCTGCTCCAGGGCCTGAGCTCCCGCTGCCTCCTTTCCTCTCTTGTTCTTAAACACGCTCCCTTAGATGACCAACTCTGCACCTCCATGCACATGCACACACATGCTTGCAGAGGGACAAACGCACGCGTAACCTTAATAGTAACATTTATGGAGCACTTGCTGTATGCCAGGGACCAGTCCCAAGACTTTAAACAGATTATGTCTTAGATTGTCCCCCCAACCACCCCTGAAGATAGGCGCTGTAACTTCCCTAGGGTTCCAAAGCTTGTATCTGAACCCAGGCTGGTCCAATCTCAGGGCCTGTGTTCCTTCCCTTATTGCTTCCCACGCTATAAAGTCACGTGCATGTCATAAGTACGTTCATATACTCTGCTGTATAAATGCACACACATTTCTACCTATGTCCTGATCGAACACGCCAGCCCTAGACAAAGTGGTGACGTCAAAGGAACTTGGGATCTGATGACTCTCACTTTCCGGAACCTGCCCAGTCTCATGGCCCCTCTGTGCCCTCTGTGGTCAGTGGTCTCAAAAAGCTTCAGGCCCTCCCATCCCTGAGAAAAATTTTAAAAATCTGGTTCTGTCCCAGGAAGGCAGAGAGATCCAGGGGCTGCTCTCTGCGAGCATATTTGGTAATTGAAGGAAGATTCAGGGGAACAGAATTGGGACGGTAGAATCGTAGGCACCGGTGGAGACAGAGGCAGTTGACTCTGAGCAGGAGGGGTCCTGTAGCACTGCTCCAGTCACACCTCGTAGGTGGTCCCCAGCACCACCCACGTATGAGGTTAGTCTCGGTGGAAACTTGAGGAGAAATTTTCTTTTGAAGCTTCTGAAGAAGGGGATGAGTTTTAAATGGGGATTTTATCCTGGCTTACCCAAATGCTGTCTTGGCTGCACATCAGATGAACATCTAGTCCTCAAAAACAAGCAGAAAGGTGACTGCTGCATGCCTTCCCAGCCCCCAGG